ATAAGACTCAAAGTGAAGACTTTTGCACTGAACAGCAACATATCTTTGTATATTTTCTTTATCAAACTACAAAAAGGGGAAGCAAGCTAAAAAGAAGAAAGAAAAAAAAACATCCTTGTGGTGCATGTGAGGAGCCTTACAAAGTACTGTGCATCTCAGGTCTGCCCCCCATTTTCTGCAGGCTGCTGATGTGCCAACGGCTGCAGGGCTGGACGTCCCTGCTGGAGTGTGGCAGAGGAGCCCATGGCACCAGGACAAAAAGAAGGTACAAGCATCTCCTACTCCGTGCGGATGAGCTCAGCTGTCACTCTCACACCTGTTCCTCTCCGAAATATTACAAATATTGATATTTGTGTTGGCTCAATCCATTTTCTCTACCCGCATGTCTCATTCAGGGTGGCAGGGGTCTGGGGGGATAACTAAGGATGGGGATAGAATAGAATAGAATAGAATAGAATAAAAATACTTTATTAATCCCTGTGGGGAAATTCTCTTTTCACTTTATCCCATCTTGCTCTCCATGCAGAGAAGAGCAAGCTTGGGGGTCCCAGCAAAGGGGGAGCTGCCTGCAGGACCCCTGGAGGTGGGGGTTAAGGGATTGACTCAACGGCCCACAGACCAGTAATTATTCTGCTGAGGCCCATACTGGAGACCTTCCAATCACAGGCATAAAGACTTAACTTAACAATTGTTAGTTTATGAAGATGTCTCCTTTTACCTATGGAAAAATATTAAACAAAATAATTATAACCAAAAACTACCTGGAAGTGTAAAGATTTGTCCTTCACACCTCAGCCATGAGCATTTAGAGGTTTATTGGAGATGAAAAGCTGCATTCTTGTGAGCCACCCAGGACAGGGACTGGAAGATTTCACACTCCACTGGGGCTGAATTGCAGTACTCAGGGGACTGTGAACCACTCTCTTCTGCTGTGTGGGGGTCCTCCCTGCGCTTATTCTCTTACGGTGGCCTCTATCTCCCCCTTCAATACAGTCTTTGCCTTGACTTTAACACTCCTTCAATGAGGCTTTAGCATCACTCTGGAAAAATTCTAGCACACTCTTTTCATGGCAAAGTTTACATTTCAGTCACAGGGTTTTAGACTATGAACTGCCAATTTAAGGTCCCACCTGAGCAGCTCAAGGGGACTGGAGCCTGTCTAGTTTAATTTAACCCATTATCATTTAGATTTCGTTCATTGGTTGACTGAGTGACTAAGGGGGCAATTACTTTGTCACTTGGGTGATGTGGGTGTTGGTGAATTACTTTCCTTCAATGAATCAAACAATAATTTAAAAACTGTGTGTTATGTTTACTCAGGTGGTCCTTTGTATTATCCTAAATTTGTCCAAAGGCCAGAAACAATTAACTGTTATGCATATGAAAAAAGAGGGAACCAGGAAGGAGGCAAACACTTTATCATGGCAATGTTTCTGTTCCAAGATTGTAACAATATTTGGAAGTATGTATAGGTATAGTGTGTGCAATAATAATTTCACTAATCATTTTCCCAGAAATTTTCAGTACAATAAATATCCTAGCACTCATTCAATTTTAGGTTCTGCAATCATCAAAACCTTTTTGCCCAGTGTTGCTGTACTGAGCTGTTATTTTTACATTTGTGCACTTCTTGTTAACTAATGAATCAACATCTTTCCCCTCTGATCAGTTTTACTGGCAAGGATCTTACACCCTGCATGGATGTTTTTTATTCATTGCATCATTCTCTCAAGTTGCTAAACGCTGTATAGTGTGAAAATTCAAGGAAGGTGGCTTTTTCTCAGATGCTGCAACCATGATGTCTGGCACCAAAAATCACACCACACTTAAGATAACAGATCACATGACTTTGTCATTCTGATGCTCAGCCTCACAGTAACTGGCTCTGACCCTGTCTCCATGCTTTGTGTATTTAGTTGCCAGCAGATTTTTTGTTTGTAGGAGCAGAGGCTGTTTGCATTAACAAACAGGTGCACCTAATAAAGGGGATAATAAATGGATATTATAGTTAGCAAAAATGAGAACTTTTCATCATGAATCAAGATTACATAATTAGACGATTGCATCACTCATAATTATATGTGCATATGTTGTGTTGGACAGAAGTGACTGACAAATATATAAATATAAATAAAAATATTGACATCTAACATATGTGCCTGGATTTATAAAGATTCAGGTCTGAGAATGTCTGTGGTATTTTGTGCTCTGAGTTGCTCCAGCTGTCTGTATCGTCTTCGAATCATTGTTGCAAGTTTTTTTTATGTTATTCTGTGCAATTATGCCGGTGCCGTGACCTAAATAACCACCCCACCCCCCTCCTCCCAGAAAAAAAATAAAAATGCTACAGGATCCAGCAGCTGTTTGGACCCCTAGTTACAGCTACTCCCTGGTCATCAATGTTTACCATCACTACCCCCCCCCCCCCCCCCACCCCACCCCCCTGTCTGATGGCAGCCTGATCACTGCTCCCCATCCATGAAAATCTTGGCCACATCTGTTTTGGCAGCAACATCTCTGCTGTATGCTGACAATCTTTCCATGATACGTTTCTTTGGTGAGTTTGGTATTTGGTATCAATTCTGGTACAACGTTGTTGTCAGGAGATGTTGTTCTCAAATTACCCATGCATGAGAGGTTCTTTGACTCATAAAACCTATGTGGTAAACAGTTCCAAAACCCTTCCATCCAGTGGCAACTCTCTCTGAGTTAGCTGTGTTGATCTCCACGGCCAGCCGCTGGATCTCCCAGGCTGCCCTTGCCGGTTTTCTTCCTCCCCCTGTTTCAAGAAGGGCTCTTAGCTGATGGTTCCTCTCCTCAACTTGACTCATCAGCAGCTTATTCCTGCTCAGAATCAGGAAGTCCTAAACTAATACAATCGAAACCTTCATACTGCCCCACTGCCAAGTAGAAGCACAAACCTAGAGCGCTTCATCATCTAGTCTTACTGATCAAAGGCCCAGCCTCTATTTACTCCCATCCTGCCATTTCAGAGTTGATAGATGGGTGTTACTCAGGACAAAGGCAGCCAAACAGTGAAGAAACTATAAAGAAGACGTATGTTGTCCCTGAAATCGGCAAAGCTTCTGAATACAGCTGCGACAAATGCATAAGGGGGACCAAATGTTCCACAGAGAAGAGCATTTTGGTTCATGGGCTTGAAATCCTGAGCTAAAAGAGTACATGGGTTATACTCAGCCCATTCAATTATGATTCCCAAAAAAACAGCTGACAATTTATTTTTGATGGTGTTGTATTGAACTTTTTCCCAATCTGGAACTATCTCTGTGTGTTTTTACCACAAAAAAATTGGCCCTGGGGCAGAAAAAATGGTTCCAGCACAGTATCACAGAAAAGCTGGTCATCAGTAACATGTGGGCTACCACATTCAAACCTTCCACATACCCAGAAAATTCAATCCATAACCGATATAGTTTTGTCTAATATTGCCGGTGCTGGGCAGTGAAACAACTAGCCAGCTTATTAGCAAAATAACATTATATGGTTTTTTTTACTCTGTGGAAAATAAAAGATCGATTTGCTATAAATAAATTATAAACATCACAGGTCAAATATATAAAATATAGTGTGCTCAAGTAGCAAAGAGATCATGAGGCAGACAGCAAAGTTCAGTTTTTAGCAAACTTTTTTTTTGTGTGATCCTTAAATGGACAGCAGTAAACCAGCAAGTGAGAATAAAAATAAGATCACTTACACATTCAGATTGTGAAGCCTTTATGGAGACAGAAGTGAATACAGGCAACAGAAACAGGGTGCAACGAGCCATACTCTTAAAACATTTTTCAGCTGGGCAGCTTAGAAAAATGTATAATCTGAAAAAGATCAAAATCTAAAAAAACAATGTATATGAACTTTTGCCTTGCTCTCACTTCCAACTATGTAACATTTCCATTCTTTTTTGAAACCGGTGGAAACTTAGGCAGGTTCTTAAAAGGCACCAAGTGAAAACCAGGTCAACATCAGCTCCATGTTGGAGGAAACAAGGCACTTGTGTGAAGTCCAGGCCAGGTCTGAGCTTTTTATTCTCTATTGATGCTGTTTGCTTTGCACTCCATCCACAGGGGTGTGGACTGCCCACCAGGGTACAGGATGCCACCGGGGGGGGGGGGTGTTGATAAGCACAAGGCCTTCTTAGAAACCCCCAGGATGCTCTCATGCTCTGGTGCCAACTAGAATATGAACTTGTGCTGGGGGGATGCATTTCCTGAAGAAAAACAATGCTATATTTAACCATATGATTTGCAAGTGTGTAATCTAGTTGCACATGAATGAGTAGTTTGCATGAATTCATCATGAGGTCATCTGTGACACATGGAGTGTCTGATGGCCTCCATATTGGAGCTTCTGATGGAGCGTGGAGAATGATCAGCATGACACTTCCAGAAGACAGCAGTCATGTCTTTTGTCTCTCGCCGCCTCCACTCTCCACTCCACCTTGCGTCTCTGACAGCCATGTGACCCACCACTGCGTCGTCATAAGGGAACTTTATGTGGTTTGAACTATAACAAGTGTTCCACTCGTGAATTAACGTATGGGCGGCAATGGGCTGAGCACATGCTTCCTGATTTCTGCTTGTCCCTTAAGAGAGGCCAAGTACAGCAGACAATCATACCTTTTAGATTAGTCGTCATTTCCACATACACATGTAACGTAAACAACCATATACTGTAAAATTTAATTGTGTGTTATTCAAAATCCTTGTGCGATATCTAATTCCAATTAAATATTTGAATTCAGCACAAAAAATACTGCAGGATTCACCTAATTTGATTCGTCTGACATTTGAATTAAAAACTTGCTGAGCAGTGTAATGTTATAGATCAGAAATGTGGGGCAGGAGTTGTTGTGGAGAGTACACACAGGGTAGGGCTGGGCGATATGACCTAAAAAAAAAATCTCCGATTTTTTAACAAAAAATTTGATTAACGATTTAAAAGCGATTCCCCCCCCTTAAAATCAAATTGCAGACATCAGATAATTTGTCCAAAACAACTTGAACTTTATTGTTTTAACATGATTTTTAAATACATGTGCAAACAAAAGCTTAACATGTTGCATAAGTGCCTGAGATGCACTAAAGATCTGGGTCACTTTTTTATTCCCTGAATATGTATGAAAACAAAGTAAATATTTTAACTGTTTGCATCATGAACATCAAACATTAGTGCATAAGGTGCTTGTATGCTGTTTTTATTAAAAATGTTTCTAAATATTTTTTGCAAGGAAGACAAGTCTGTCTACTACCTCTGGTTTGAGGCATGCTCGTTGGCATGTGACAATCCCCCCACCCACGCTGAAAACCCTCTCTGAAGGAGTACTTGTAGCTGGGATGGAGAGGTTTTTCTTTGCTAGTTTACTTAGCCTTGGAAAGTTTGGTCGGTGGAGCTTCCACCAATCAAGTGGATTCTCATCTGCGTCCACCTCGGGGCACAGTAAGTAAGTGGTCAGTTCACTCTCTACTTTCCTGAGCTCTGACTGCTGGGGAGAGGACACAGGTGCATTCTTTTTGAAGAAGACAGCTAAAGTCATTTTCTTCTTAGGTGGAGTCTCTGCTTCAGCTTCTTCTCGCACAACTGGACCAGGCTGCTTTGATGTGGTCTCGAGTAGTGACATGACCTCAGTGACAGCTCTCTTTTTTATTTTTTCAACATCCTCTGTGTCCATATATGTAGTGCGGAACCTTGGGTCTAAAAGTGTGGACATGTCCAAGAGTTCATCTCTGACTGGGTCACTGTATTTGTCGTCACGATATTGTATTATGTTTTTTTTTACAGTTTTGGTGAGGTCCGCATCATTGTCTTCTGGCTGTAGGAGTCTGTTCTTGAATACATGCAGCACTGGTTTAACGCATGAAACACTAACATATGCTTCTGCTGAGAGTGCATCTGTAAAGTCTTGGAGTGGCTTGACAGCTTTATTTACAGCCTCTAAAACTTCCAGATCTTGGCACGTGGGAACAAGAAACCGACTTTTCTTGTCTGCACCCAGGACACGGACTATGGCTTTCTCCCGTTCGAGAAATCTCTCTATCATTTTTTGCCGTGAACCCCATCTGGTTGGGGTCTCTGTTATCAGCTGATGTGGAGGCAGACCAAGCTCAGCTTGTGCTTCAGACATGTCCCTTCTTTTCTTCCAGCTGTACGAAAATGCACACACAGCCATTTTGCAAACCCCAATGGCGCGGTCAATTCGTGGGTCCTTCACACCATTCTCTTGAAAATAAAGAAAGAATCCACAATCAAATTAATTGAAAAATTGGATACATTCATAAAGCTACAGACGTACATGGCAAGAATACCACTGTTATTTATATTGTAAAGTTTGTGGGAAATTATACAGGCTTAAAAAAATATATATACACAACATTTTTACAACACTACATTTAAAAAGTATTTAGACCTTAGTTATCTGTACTTATAATTGTACTTATAAATAAAATTAAAAAAAAAAATTTAGAAAAAGATATCACAAATGTTAATACTGCAATCAGAATAAGTATTGTAAAATTAATAAATAGGTGAAATAAATCATAAAGGTTTATACACTACGGAAGAGAAATTCTATTTTAATTTATAAAAGATTTAACACTCAGATGTGATGAACTGATGATATCTACTGTATCTTTATACTGATAGGTACAGTTATGAGTGAGCTTTAATATAGTCAAGTAATATTTGCATGTGCTACTTTTAAGTTAATTTGAGTCCATATATTGTGTGTATTGTATACTAATGTATTGTTTTGAAGTACTGTATTTTGCCTCTTACCTATAGCGTTGTGTAGTCTGTGTCCAAAACACTGGAGGTTGGGCCACTTGTTGTTACTCAATGCTTTTATCATATCTGTGCCGCTGTCTGTCGTCATACAGACGAGTCTGTCTTCAGCAAGGTTCCAGGCGCTAAGGGAGTCTTTTAAGCCTTGAGCAATTAAGTCTCCTGTATGGTCATCGGGAAAATACGCCGTTTGTAGGCATATGCTTCTCAGTGCCCAGTCATCGTTGATAAAATGTACCGTTAAGCTCAAATAGGGCTGCATTGTTCTGCTGGACCAGAGATCTGTAGTGGCTGAAAAAAACTGCATATTTTCCTGCTCTTTAATGATGTTTTAACGTGTGGTTTTGTATAGCTGGGGCAAGGCAACCGCGGAAAAATATTTACGGCTTGGCACCACGTATTTAGCATCCAAAACCTTCATCACGTTTTTAAAGTGCTTCTTCTCTATTGTATATATTGATAGCATGTCACCTGCAATATACATGGCGATTGCCTCTGTGACTGCTTTCCACTGTGCTCCCTTCTTGTCATATGGTACACAGTTTGTAAGTGTTTCCAGGACCGTGGTTTGCCTTCTAGCAGGCGTGCTATTGTTTTCAGTTCGCATGGAGCAGCACTTTTCCCATTCGGCAGCGTACGTGTCTCTGTTTGAGGTGCTGCAGCAAATTTGTTGTGCTGCTACCTTTGACAGCAACAGCCTTAAGACATACTTTGCAACGTGGATTTGTTTGTTTTTCGTCTGACGCCGCAAATCCGAACCATTTCCACACAACTGAAGACACTGTGCCATTCTTGGGAACAACTTCGTCCCCGTCCCTGATCGCTGCCATGATGTTTGCTTGCTTCTACCGCGCAGGGGGATGAGCGAGGGAATGCACACGCGCAGGGGGATGCTCACTCTGAACTACGGGAGCCAAGAGGAGAGTGACGGTGCATATAAGAACGTTAACAAAAAAAAAATCGGATTTTTACTAAGACAAATTGATTTCCACTGAAAATTCGAATTAATCGATAAAATCGATTTATCGCCCAACCCTAACGCAGGGTTTAAAAAGCTGAATAATCTGTCCTGGGGACGAAAAGAAAGGTGAGCACTGGTGCAGATGTGGGGTTGGGTGAAACACATACTCACACAGGGAGGAGATCAGGATATCACATTGTCAAGGAACATTTTTAGTTGAACGCCAGCGCTATCTTTCAGTCAAATAACGTAACCTTGAGACAGATTTATTATCCGATCCCACGATGCGTTAAATCATATGGTCAGGCGCAAAAAAAAGACGAAAAAAAAAATTGAATCAGAATCGGTTTTAGAATCAGACAGTTCGAAAGAATCTAATCAGTTAATTGAGCTGAACTTCCCATCACTATTAAGCAGGATTCCTCTTCATAACTAAGCTACATGCAGTCTGAGCGCGCTCTCCCCTTGTGCCATAAAGCAGCACTGTCGCAAACATACAGACGAAAATGCAACCCCTACAACATACTAATTAAAGAACATAAAGTGGTACGCTTATATTTTAACCCCATTTATACAAATGTGAAATTTGGTGTGGGTTACACTATCACAGCGAATGCGAGGCTGAGACTGAAGCTTTACGTTTTGTTTCTGCTGAGAGACCTGCCGCGTGACTCATTTCTCCGCGCGTACAAGTTATCTTAGGTCTGCGTTCACGGTTTGACTGATTGCAAAACCGAACCAATTCCATATTACCGATGTAGCAACAACTTTCTTGGGCACAAGCTCCAGCTTTTCCCCTGTCGTTGCCATGTTGTTCGTGAATCCGCTACAGTGTTTGGGTGTGCCGTGCTAATTTACCCATGAAGAATGGTGTGTCACATTAGTTCCGCTTTTGGCGCTTGCGTGTAAAATAAGTAATAAAATCGATTTTCATAAAAACACCTCGTCCTGAACTGTAAATGTCAATTAATCGATAAAATCGATATATCGCCCACCTCTAGTTGTACAGTGGAGGAAATAATTATTTGACCCTTCGCTGATTTTGTAAGTTTGTCCAATGACAAAGAAATTAAAAGTCTCAGAACAGTATCATTTCAATGGTAGGTTTATTTTAACAGTGACAGATAGCACATCGAAAGGAAAATTGAAAAAATAACTTTAAATAAAAGATAGAAACTGATTTGCATTTCATTCAGTGAAATACGTATTTGAACCCTCTAAAAAAAAAGACTTAATACTTAGTGGCAAAACCCTTAACTCAGTCAAATGTTTCTTGTAATTGATGACCAAGTTTGAGCACATTTTAGGAGGAATTTTGGTCCACTCCTCTTTGCAGATCATCTCTAAATCACTAAGGTTTCGAGGCTGTCTCTGTGCAACTTTGAGCTTCAGCTCCCTCCATAGGTTTTCTATTGGATTAAGGTCCGGAGACTAACTAGGCCACTCCATGACCTTAATGGGCTTCTTCTTGAGCCACTCCTTTGTTGCCTTTGCTGTATGTT